AGCCATCACCAAGAGTCAATGTTCGAAGGCCGGCTGGCAGGTTCACTTCTTCCAAGCTCTGGTTGAAATAATTGCCAAAAGCCAACATTTGAAGACTCATTGGCAAGGTCACTTGCTCCAACTTCTGGTTGAAGCTCCCACCAAAAGTCAGTTTTAGAAGACTTGTTGGCCAGGCAACTCCCTCCAAGCTCTGGTTGAAGCTACAACCAAAAGTCAATGCTTGAAGAGTGGTTGGCAGGTTCAGGTCATTCAGGTCTACTGCGGACTTGAAATCAAGCGTCAAGCTTTGGAGGCTATCAGGGAGATGATGCAAATACCTTCCTGGCTCGGTCACCCTTAGACGTGTTACTCCTTCCAATTCGAATTCTTCCGCGGAAGTTGCCAGTCCTTGGACGTAGCACCATGCAAAATACAAGTTTGTTGGCATGTAAGTACAGGATAAGGTTGCAGCTTCACTCATAATGCCTTGCTCTTGCAAGGTTTGGTTGAGCACCAGTGCTGCAGTACCATGATACAGCACCAGCTTCGCACCTGCCTTGGAAGCAAATTCTTTCGAAGCCATCTGCCGAACCTCCCGGCCCAGCGTTGCAGGAGAGACCCTCCAAAGCAATCCATTTCCAGTCATGCACTGCACGTGAAGATCAAACATCTCGAGGCTTTCCGGATCTGATGACTGACCTGCATAGCCAACAGAAAGCGACATCCTGCTTCAGGGTCTTGATGGAGCACGTAACCCCCGCCTCAATCAAGTCCAAGCTCGCACATGAGCTGCGCAATGTGCACGGCTGTAGCTAACCGGCGGCTATGCATCACTTTCCAAACTGTGCTGGAACCCCAGAGTGAAGCTAGACAAAGCCCGGTAGTTCTTTCTATGCCATGACGGTTGGCGGCCGTCTTGCTGTTCATTTTGTTATTCAAACAGAATGTGCTTTGCATTGAGTTCAATCAGTGGCTGTTTGGAGATCACCCATGATCACCTTGTTGGTCCGTCTGTAGAAGGAGGTGTACATGAATATATATATATATACAATGTTATATCATGTTTGTACAGTATATGGAGTCATATTATATGTATATGTGATATTCGAAATGTCTTGCTACAATATATTGCAATCACCTCATGTCATGTCGACACATATTCATCATTGTATTATGGCATCTTATTACACAGGATCATGTTACATTACACTTCTACTCATATCTGTGTATATATATATATAATTATATATACATATGTAAACACATGTGTGTGTGTGTGTCAAACTTGACCATTAGAAGTCCCTGCGTTCCTCTAACAAAGGAGTTGTAAACACAGTGTTCTCCTTGGAAGGCAGGCCGGCAGGCGGTCCAAAGATACCAGTCAAGCAGTACATCTATCGATCCTAGCGGTGGTTTGATGTTTGAAGATCCCATGGAGCAGGTTGGGAACCCCAGAGCAAAAACAGGACACAAATTGAAAAATTTGAACCCGCAAAAACAGGACCCAATTTCTAAATGGTCATGGGTCCAACCTTAAGACATTTCAAGACCGCCCGACCGCCCAAACTCACAAATGCTGACAGTGTCACAGAATCACAGTATCTTCTTCACGCCCTAGATGTCAAATTGTAAGCCGTTGTCAAAACTCGTTGTCTTCGCAAAGTTCCCCGAAAAAAGGGTATCGCATTTGGGGGTCCATCGCTATCCATAAGAAAGGATGAAAGGAAAGGAGGAAAGGAAAAGGAGAAAAGGGTCTACTTGTGGTTTGGGGTTACTTTTGGAAAACATATTCGTAGGGATATCGCTAATTTTGTCTCTTGCATGTACGCAACTTTGCGCAACACAACTTCGGATGTGGACATTATGCACAACTATAGGTATCGCTTTTGGAGGGGGCCCTATCCCTACACAGTGTTTGGCGCACTTTCCAGACACAATGAGAACACTCCTTTACATAATAGTATACCAGAGTTTTGATCGTACCTCTTGTGTCACTCCAATCACGCAGTGATTTTGACCATAGCTGGGCTTTAGAACGCTCTGCGCATTACCAACATTTGAACCATGGCTATCTCGCGTCTTCATCCGTCTTCCCTATGCTATGGCCAGCTACATGTCGAAGCAGCTCTGATTTGGCTGTTTGTAGGGCATTGCCACTGCTGCCGCAAGACCTGGTGGTGCCACTGGGTTGGGAGTGAAGTGGATCATCAGAGATTGACGAATCAGATTTGGAGCATCTGAGAATCTATATAATTAATTACTGATTTTATGACTGTAAACCTGTAAACCGTGGAACCTATTGATGCCATTGAGAAACTGGTAAGAAAATGATGAACCTATGGTTACAAAGTGATAAACCCATGAGTAAGTTTCTATTGCATCGGAATGATCAACCCATTGAGAAACTGATTGGAAAAGGCAGCTCGTAAGTTACCAAAGTTGAATGCCTGGTTTGGCCCATGTCCTCGTGAATCCCAAGATATCACAACTATACTATACCATGATTTACAAAATAACTAGTCTACAATGAGTGTTGGGGGGCGCGCACGCCAAGATATGATGATGAGACAAGTTTTGAGCCTTGTGGAACAAGAACATCAAGTAGAATGAGGTAGAAAATGCATGGTTCAATCCAGGAGTTACGAACTTCATGCCACTTCACAGTAGCAAAGGCAATCAATATCGACTTGTGGATCCTGGTGTCAGATTCCCAGACTCGCGATGCTTCAACGAACTTTGATTGCTTTCCCAACATGGATCAATTGAAGGGGACTTTACGAAGACCATTGAAGAACTGTTAGTATGAGTATAACTTAGTTATAAGATGTTATAAGTTATAAGTATATTACAAGATGTTACAAGATGATACTTTCAGTACTTTCACTACTGCTTTAAAAGGGCCAGGCACCGTCGATGGGACGTGCCGCTTCCAAGACTTTCTTGCAGGCTGCCGTGATGGGCCAGGCTGGCAGGGGCGCCAAGAACGACGAGGCATAGGGATAGTTGCCTCGCTCGGTGGATCCCAGTGGATCCGGCGATTTGCCCCCGGGATGGACCGTGAAGTTTCGGTAAAAAGTGTCCGAAGAAAGAACGGAAAAAATAAAAATGACCACAAGAATCCACAAGAGGTGTAATGACAATTAATGACAATTAATGACAATTAATGACAATTAATGACAATTAATGACAATTATGAAACATGGTTGCACGATGTTACACGTCTCAGACATGCTGTGTGCTCAGTGCCCAGCAGCTGTTCTGCATCTGAACCAGAGCGTTTGCCCGAACTTTCCAGCCGAGTCACACATTGCCATCTCCTCAGGTCTGATGAACTGATCCAAAAAAATGGTCGAAAAACCTTCAAGAGCGAAAAAAAGCTGCGACTTTCCACTTGGAGATCCTATTTGATCCAGCTTGATCATATATAATATATATATATTATATGATCCAAGATGATCCAAGTATATATTATCAATGCTTTTGTTGATAATGTCCATTTGCTAATTGTGCCCTCAGTTTTGCAAAACTAAGGCGGCCACGGTCCACGCGTTTCTGACGTACCTCATTTGTTGCGTGCTGTGTCAAAACACCAGCCCCTGTCCTGCTGTTTTTGCTCCTTTTTTGGATGGGTTCCAATTTTGACTGCCCCTTTGAAATGGCATGCGTTTGATTGGTACTTCCAAAACCACCCGAATAGAACAGTGTGGTGATCTAAGGCATGTAAGATTTAAGAAGTTTAGAAAGTCGCCGGAGGGGTTGTGAGCCCGGTCTATGAATGCAATGGCAAAAACGAGTCGGTTTGCAGGACTTGTTCAACCCGAATCAACTGCAAGAGATATGATTCTCATGATCCCTCAGTTAGGTCAAGAGGATATAAGTGACAAAACCCGCTGATTACCAACGAAGACTTAACGGTTTTCTGGATCCAGTTTATTTTCACGGACTTTGTATTCTCCGTCTTTCAAGACACTCTTGGACCGCTTTGCACTACAAATCTCGAGGTCATGGTTATGTCAATTCATCTCCATCTTTATGGTTTCACAGTCCCTTTTTTCAATCTCATCCACCAAACCGCTTAAATCATGGTCTTACGCTTTTGTTCGGTCATTCTTAAATGTTTCGGAAGTCTTTTACCTCACTTTAACCCCCATGTTGAGCCATTTCAATCACTTATTTATATATTCTATATATATATAATAGAATATATATATATATATATATCAACCCCATAACAAAATGTCACAGTTCCGCCATCCCAGAAAATTCAGGGAGAACAAAAACATGTAGGTCTTGCATCCCCGTCGGGTGGCTGAAGGAAATGGTCGATCTCTGAAGCCTCCATGGGCTTACAGAGTTGGAAGATGTCGCCTCAGAGGCCGCTGGTTCAGCTGAGATTTTCGAGCTGACCTGGAATTTCAGGCAGGGAATTAAGGTGATTTCATGGAACATGCATTCCCATGTTCTTTTCCTAAACTGTGAAATTGGTATTGACTTTGGTCAATCCAAATAGGCAGAACCTGCTCAGCTTACTGTTAAGCACCCTGCTAACCTGAAACAGCCACAATGAAGACGGATGTTGATATGACACCAAGCGGAACCCATCGAAACCACAAAATGAAATGCTCTTCATTCTTATTCCATATTTCCCATAGGTCCCAACTCAAAATAAGAGGGCCAATGGGCCAATCTAGATCCTTTTCAACGTAGACTACCACCTTTGAAGGTGGCTAAGATTTGACCCTCGTCGCAAATGTGTCGCGCTACTGACCCTTTCTACCCAAGATTCTGGGAGTTCAAGGGTGTGACCCACTTCCCAATCATGTTTTATCTTCGCACGGATGTCAGGATGGGCTGAAATGAAACAGCAAACATGGCTAAATAAAGACGAATATAGCAACCAAATCAACAAACCTCCTGTGGTTTGCTGTGACGAAAAGACTGCTGAACAGTTTCCAAACCCGATGTATTGTTGTTCATCGATTCAAATGGTTGGATCCGGATTACCAAGTCAAACATCAACGACAAACATCAACTGAGTTTGCCTGAAGATGAGGTGCCCGAAAATCTCATGGTTTATGTATGTTTATGTTGGTTTATCAGGTTTATGATATATTTCCCAGTTTCAAGCAGCTATGTTGGGTGTATCTCCGTGATTTGTTGGTGAAAACTAAATGTTTGAATGGTGAAAGTTAAATCCCAATTTTGGTTTGTTGAACCTGTCAGTTTTCAGTTCTTTGTTGGCTGCATAAGTTATTATATGTCATACCCACTGTTTTCCCACAGCTGGTTTTTACATGTTTTTACCTTGCTCATTGAACAAACCTGGCTAAACATGGCTAAACCAGCCGCTTAAACAGTAGTACTGTCGCAGCGTCCAGCGACTGATCTCCTGCAGCCCTGCTGGCGTCTTGGCCCGCTCCAAAATGTCGCTGAAGGCGCGCTGCACGGTTTCAGGACATTTCGGCTGCGCCTGGCCTTGGCCCGGGCACCGGCTACAGCTCTGGGCCTCAGGCATACATATATATATATATATATTGGTATATGCTATATTATTTTATGCTATATTGAGGCTATATTGCGTATGATTCTGTCTCTGTATCTATATGTCTGTCTATCTGTCTCTCCGTCCGTCTGTCTATCATCTATTTGTCATTATCTGTCTATTTATCCCGTCTGTGTAATTCTATCTGTCTAGAATGTAGTAATTCCAAAGCGTTTTGGAATAGAAGTATTAATCCGCGAGGCCAATCTGGGGTCAACATTAGTGGATGCTCACGTGCTTTCCTGACCATCCAAGTTATTGTAGTCCCCTGACCAGCTCGAACATGGGCAGTGGGGTCCACCAAGTGGGAATCATTCGAATCATTGCATGTTGAACCAACCCCAGTGAACATAGATCTGACTGTGATTCGAGACTTTGTAAAGCATCTAAAAGGCAGGCTTTAAGCAATCAGATCCATCAATTCCTTTGATTCAGAAATGCAGAACCTGTGGCGATCACCGCGATCCCGATGCCAGAGGGCGAGCTGAATCTGTTACACTCCGATAGAAGGTGGACTTGTCTTCCTCAGCCGATGGATGACTGGGATGTTCTGGGCTTCACCATAGCTGCCATAGATATCCACCCCAAGCGATGCCCTGAAAGCCGTTGAAGGTCCCACCTCTCCTATCATCCAGTCTGACTGGCAGTTTTCAACCCATCAAAACCAGAACAACTGGAGCTCTTAATTTCAGCTCAGCATGGAAAGCATACCATGTTTGAAACCTGCCGGAAATGCGCTTTGGTTGAATAACATATCCTCAGTGTAACAAACATTGAGGGTGAGTTCAGCCGAGCAAATCAGCCGAGCGCATCACCCCGGTGCTGCAAAGCCGTAGCTGCTGCTACGCTGCTGTTCATTTGTTTTGAATAAAGAGTTCGCAGAGCGTTTCGATACATTTGGGTGATTTTTTCTTGAAAGAATAAGAATGCCGCAGTATGCGAAACAATGACTTAAGCGAAACCCTGATTCCGATTGGAGGATTCATCTTCCAGGAATCAGAGAACGCTTCCATGGTGTCACTGAGAGTAGCAAGCACTGTTGATTTTGCCGCACAGGCGCTTGAAAGCATATGACTCATATGACCATCTTGCGCAACCAGGAACTACAGAATCAACTGGTTGCACATGTTCTATTTCAAAGAAATGTGGAGAAATCCCAATTTCCGCCTCAGTCTCTTGAAAATTGTTGCATCAACTACTCCTCAAAAACCGGATGATCTTTAGAAATCTTTAGAAACTATACTATATACATCTATATACTATATACTGTTATAATCTGTTATGTACTGCAGGATACTGCTACATCTCCGAATTGGATTTTCTGCCAAAACAAAGGCCTTCCGAGTTTCCAGGAGGTTCACAGCCTGCGGAATGGGCGCTGAGGCGGCTAAAGCCATATCGAAGACGTTGGGGTACTTGATGCGAGCCCAGGCTGACAGCATGCCTTGCCGTGTCTGGGGCCGTGTCTAAAGGAGATCCAAGTTATGGAAGCCTTGAAATTCTGGGAGATGGAAACCATGTGAACCCATGATAGATGGGGATAGAGCTAAAAAAACACATCGATATGAATACTGTAAGCAAAATAATGCAAAATATATCGGTAACTTGTTAAGATCTTGGTTTAAGTAGGAATCAGGATGAATCAGGCATGTGCTTGACCAATCTGTACCCGAAAGCCCACATGATGGACCGTTGAAATCACAGGGTCTGGGGTTCCTTGTGAGGGCTGATCCACATTGACATCACTCGGGCAGATCATCTCAAGCAAGTTTCCAAAGGTGGTGAAATCCCGAAACCCAGACACTTTACGAACACAAGGCCTTTTGAACAAAACTGTACAAAGATGACGCCTCAACACCCGGCCGCCTCCATAGGAACCTCCGAGAGCTACCACAGCACTGAGCTGATAGGTGGCCTGGTCCGCAAGAATCCGCAAAAAATTGTCCTTTATTTTTTCATGATTCGTGGGTCAAGTCATGGTATCTGTTTAGGGCCATGCCCATATGTTGCTGGTGCACCATCCACCAGGTGGTGTGTGGACCACACCTGGAGGTGTCTCACCAGCATGGCATAGTCTGCCAGGGTCTGGGAGATGGACAGGTAGCCCAGATTCTCCTGGGGTTCACCAAAAGAGCTCCAGTGGAGCCTGGATCCAAGGACTCCTCGCCAAGTTCCAGTGCCTAGGGGTGCCTTACTTTATAGTCAATTTTGGTAGCAAGAAATGGATACCCCCGAACTTAGACGGAAGCAAACCAAGTCCTTGGCTGAAACAGTCAGGCTAAATAAGGTCTCTAGATACAGTATGTACAGTACATGAAATCTGGAAGGCTTTTATGGTTGCTCTGCACCCCCGTCCTTGGTAAAGGACGCATTCCCAAAAGGCAAAGTCTTGCCATAGTACCTGGCAACCCCAACCCCAGACCTGCCTTATCCTCTGAGCCTTGCATTGCCATGCAATGGGCCTGTCCCCTCAACCTAAATACCCTGGAATCAAGGCTTGTAATTTCGGACCACCGCCGCCCATAAAAGAACCTAAACCAGCAGGTTTCAATCAATCTAGTGGCAAGAGGGAGTCCAAGTGTAGTGAACCCGTACCATTGGACGTGGGCCTTGGTCGGCCTTGGTCAAAACTGAAGACCCAAAAATGGGATACGTTCCGAACGTTCCCCCAGGGCCTTCAATTTGGACCCCCATGTCACACCAGCTTCGCCTGTGCTCACCAAAGACGATCAGTGCATTGAAGCTGGGGGCCCAGTCAAAGGGGAGCCCCGTGTTGTAGTAGAAGGACTCCAAAGGTCCTCATGAGGATATGCCACTGCGGCATGGCGGCATGGTGGACCCAGACCCCAAGTCCCTGGATTCATCATTAACTCCTTGCGGCCTTGCAGCTACTCCAACCTGTGAATTGGCCAGTCTAGCACCCCCAAATCCCAACGTTGTTAACTGCACACCCAAAGTTCTCTGCATGGATGGGTTGGCCACATTCTGGTGTTGCTTGTTGAAAACAAATGGTTATTGGTCGCGTTAATACGTGTTCGACCCCTCTGTTTGATTGGTATATTATGTTCACAGTTGCTTGTTAACTCCCCATGTTGCGTTGTTCCGACCCCCCATGCTTGGTAAACCCTTAGGCCATCCATGTCCCATCACTGTGGTGCCTTCATTCCCAGTATAGAAGAAGAGAGGTCCACCAGGACGATAACCTGGTACCGGGGGAAATCGAAAGTGACATGGTTACCTAGCACATCCCAGCACTATAGCTAGAAAAGTTGGGGTTGTAAAAGTAGGCTCTTGGAGTAAACGGGACGTCCAACTCCAACACATGCAAGCCTTTCTGGGAGTATCCCTTCGAAAATTGTTGTAAAAGGTTGAACATGTAACATGATCACAACTTCTGCATATGCAGAAGGTTTCTCATTCATAATTATATAACAATTTTAACTCGACCATTCCAGGGCAGGTGGGTGTGAAATCAGAGAGTGCCCACGTGCTGGATGATGCCTAACAAATCCCAAATCTGACTTAAGGGCCACAAATTACCACTTTCTCAAAATTACCACTTTCTCAGGTAAGTACACGCTAGCAGAAGTAGCGGCCAGTGCCCTATCTCTTGCCGCCCGATCATCCCCAACAAAATTGCACTTTATCCACGACAATTCACCACCAAAGATATGTAGCCACCCATATCATCCATCCAACAAAACCAAGTGTGATTGCTGGCCTTTGAAACATGCAAGAAATCCATAGAAATCCTTAAAGTTTTGATCAATTACAACAAACACGGGATGCAAGTCCAGCCACTGGCGTTGTAGACAAAGTACCTCTGCGCAAACCTCCGCACAATTCCCATGTACGGGATGCCCTTTCTCAAAGAAACACACGGGTTTGGGGTCCTAAGTGTTCTAAGTGTGCTTTTGTCCAAAATTTAGCACTTTTTCAGCAGCAACTGACTAGCCCATAGCCCATACAACAATATAATTTGTGGGAAGCTCAAAATAATTTGTTTTCTCAAAAGGAAATCCAAAAACATGAGTTCCACCTGACTCAAACCCTGGAGTGGAAACGGTCTCAGTTCTCTCTCAGTTGGAGATAAATTGACTTCGCCAAGCCAAGCAGCTGGCGCTGGTCTTTGTAGTTAAAATGATCCAATTTCTGCTCAAAGGTTTCGATCTGCGGATGAGGAATCCTCAGCGGAGACCCTTTGCACCCCAGGCACAGTTCGACAAACACGCTGGGCCAATGAGACTGTGGACACTGCTCTGGCACTTCCCACCGGGCGATGGTCGTTAAAGCCCAAAGTTGATCAAATCATGTTGTTTTTCCAGAATCAGTTTCAAAGGACCACCGGAAGTTTGGTTTCTTCAAATAGTTTCCAAGAAAAAAAATACCTGGAGACATCTTAATACCCATCGGTTTCCGATAAGTTTTCCCTCAAATCAAACCAGCAATTCTGCGCCAACCAGCCAGCCCTCAGTGGACCAGCAAGAAACTCCGAGTCTGAGACCACCACGGGTCCTCTTGGCGGTGGGGACATTGGGAATCTTACTCAAATCCATGAGAATTGAATAAGTACCATATATGTACATATGAGTACTACATTTAAAATTGTCTTTGTGCATGTGTATGTATATATATATATATATGTCTGTCTGTCTGTCTGTCTGGCTGGCTGGCTGGCTGGCTGGCTGGCTGGCTGGCTGTCTGTCTGTCTGTCTGTCTGTCTGTCTGTCTGTACGTATGCATGCATGCATGCATGCATGTATGTATGTATTTATGTTTGTATGTGTGTGTAATGTGGATACTTGTATGTGCAACTTGGGCATCAAGTCGGTGAGCATCCAGTCGGTCTTACAAAGCTCCTCGGGGAGGTCGCGCATCCGCCATTAGCAGCAAGGTTGCCACGATACGAGCCATGGCACGCATGGCGCCCAAGAATTATGGGCACGATACGAAGCAGTTAACGCTGAGGGCAGTGGTAAAGTGCAGTGGTATTGTTGTGGAAGGGATAGGGGGGATGATGGATGATGGATGATGGATGATGGATGATGGGGGCGTCATGGCCAGTTTTGTTGGATCATGATCAAAAGCTTCAACCAAAGTTAAGTGTTTTCCTCAATGGCTGGTCGTCATCCCTAAGTCGTCCTTAAGTCTTCCCCTGCTGGAGTCGCCCTCTATGACAGCTCCCACCTTCGAACGTCTCGGATGACCTTCACCGCCACCTGTGGCGCATGAGATCCCTTGATGGTTCCTCAAAGTCTACAAATGGCAAGCACATGGGGGCCCTCTAAGCAAGATGAATGGAGCTACAATCAAGAATTAGCCAACCTTTCTAGTAGATCTACTAGTGGATTATCCGCCCTTGTATCTGGGATACCTTCGGACAGCTAAAATTCTAATCATGCACGACTCATGCCACAGTCAAAGCACCAAGCATATGCGTGTCATCCCACCCACCATCTCTTCCCTCTTTGCTTTACCACTGTACATGGGACATACAGCATATATATATACATATATATATACATATATATATACATATATAGATATATACATATATATATATATACATATATACATATACATATATACATATATATATATACATATATATATATACATATATATATGAATATATATATATGTATATGTATATATATTATATTCAAAAGTTCAGATATATTCCAAGTCTGCGAAATGACTCATGGCTGGGGATGAAAAACGCCTGCAGCTAACAGGGCCCTGTTGATGGCAGTAGATTGCAGTAGATTGGCGATGGCAGATATATCAGATGGTTACAGATAGTATCAGATTGTCGTCAGAAAGTGACCTCCTGGTTCTCTTTGGAGTCGCGGCACAGCAGGACCTTTCCAGGTGCCACGGCCACAGAACATGTTGGGACGAGGTGATTGCCATTAGACAACACTGTGACAACCGCAGTTGCACTCATGGACATTCTCAATGTGCGATGTAGGAACGTAAGTGTCCTATTCTGCAACTCCAAAATACCCCAAGATTCTTGATTATTTGAACTTATTTTGATTATTGTATTGATCTATATTGATCTACAACCTTCAAGATCAAGATGGGAACCAAATAAGGGCGGCCATGTGGGCCTCTTAAATCTCTGAAGACTCACTGTGGGGAGGTGTCGTGCTTGGGCAGCCTGGCCCCTTAAATCCCTGGAAAACACACCAGGCCACAGGTTGCTCCAATTCATTACATGTACCAAAAAAGAAGGCTGTTGGTCTCAAAAAAGATCTACCCTCTGGTAATTTAACATAGCTATTGAAAATGGTGATTTATAGTGGATTTTCCCATTAAAAATGGTGATTTTCAATAGTTATGTTAGTTTACCAGAGGGTAGAAGGCCATTTCTGTGTCGAAAATCATATCTGTTCAGGTCGCGATCCATCTGTTTTGAGGAAATCGCTGTTGGTACTGGCTTACTCGCAGTCTCAGTATCTGTTGGTAAAATGAATAACGTATATGTATGATTCCATATTTATATATATTTAGCTACTATATATATATATTAGAATTATAATGTGTAGGTGTATGTGTATATATATATAATGTATATATCATTGGTCGTTCCATATGTGTGTCTGTGTATGTATATATATATATATATGTATGTATCCGCCGACCCCGGCCTTGGCCAAGGCAGGGGCGGCGCCTGGGACCACCGCAGGTGTGGAACTTCTCCTTCTTCGCTTTCCAAGGTCAAACCCATCTCGCAGCCAGCAAGCTGCCCCAAGGCTCCTTCTTCGCTTTCCAAGGTCAAACCCATCTCGCAGCCAGCAAGCTGCCCCAAGGCCACATCGCGTAAACATTTTCCTGGCATGCTTCGTCCTCTATTAAGACTTCCAGGCATTTGGACATGAAAATTACATGCTTTGGGCAAGTAAGTTTTACTCCGGAAGGTTTTGTCTGAAGGTTTTGTCTTTCAAGCCCAAAGCAGCCGTTCCCGCATTCCTGTAGTAGCAGTTCAAATCATTGACCACGCTTACAACTTAAAACGCTTAAAACCCTTAAAACGGTGACTTGGCATGAACAGGCACCCCAAGGCCACACATCAATGGCTTCTTATGGGCCGCTTCAAAAATCCCTTGGCATGCTTCATCCTGCAGCCAACAGGCACCCCAAGGCCACACATCAATGGCTTCTTATGGGCGTCCAAGCCTGCCGTTTGCCAGCCCTTAAACCTTTAAAACCCTCCAAACCCTCCAAACGCTCCAAACCCTCCAAACCCTTAAAAACCTTAAAACCCTTCAACCGCTGACTTGGCATGCTTCATCCTGCAGCCAACAGGCACCCCGAGGCCACACATCAATGGCTTCTTCTGGGCCGCTTAAATAATCCCTTGGCATGCTTCATCCTGCAGCCAACAGGCACCCCAAGGCCACACATCAATGGCTTCTTATGGGCGTCCAAGCCTGCCGTTTGCCAGCCCTTAAACCCTCCAAACCCTCCAAACCCTCCAAACCCTTAAAAACCTTAAAACCCTTAAAACGCTGACTTGGCATGCTTCATCCTGCAGCCAACAGCCACCCCGAGGCCACACATCAATGGCTTCTTCTGGGCCGCTTAAACAATCCCTTGGCCCATCTCGCAGCCAGCAAGCTGCCCCAAGGCCACATCGCGTAAACATTTTCCTGGCATGCTTCGTCCTCCAGTTAAGACTTCCAGGCATTTGGACATGAAAATTACATGCTTTGGGCAAGTAAGTTTTCCTCCGGAAGGTTTTGTCTGAAGGTTTTGTCTTTCAAGGCTCCTTCTTCGCTTTCCAAGGTCAAACCCATCTCGCAGCCAGCCAGCCGGCGCAAGGCCACATTGCGTAAACATTTTCCTGGCATGCTTCGTCCTCCAGTTAAGACTTCCAGGCATTTGGACATGAAAATTACATGCTTCGTCCTCCAGTTAAGACTTCCAGGCATTTGGACATGAAAAGTACATGCTTTGGGCAAGTAAGTTTTCCTCCGGAAGGTTTTGTCTGAAGGTTTTCTCTTTCAAGGCTCCTTCTTCGCTTTCCAAGGTCAAACCCATCTCGCAGCCAGCCAGGCATGAACAGGCACCCCAAGGCCACACATCAATGGCTTCTTATGGGCCGCTTAAACAATCCCTTGGCATGCTTCATCCTGCAGCCAACAGGCACCCCAAGGCCACACATCAATGGCTTCTTCTGGGCGTCCAAGCCTGCCGTTTGCCAGCCCTTAAACCCTTAAAACCCTCCAAACCCTCCAAACCCTTAAAAACCTTAAAACCCTTAAAACACTGACTTGGCATGCTTCATCCTGCAGCCAACAGCTACCCCGAGGCCACACATCAATGGCTTCTTCTGGGCCGCTTAAACAATCCCTTGGCATGCTTCATCCTGCAGCCAACAGGCACCCCAAGGCCACACATCAATGGCTTCTTATGGGCGTCCAAGCCTGCCGTTTGCTAGCCCTTAAACCCTTAAAACCCTCCAAACCCTCCAAACGCTCCAAACCCTCCAAACCCTTAAAAACCTTAAAACGCTGACTTGGCATGCTTCATCCTGCAGCCAACAGCCACCCCGAGGCCACACATCAATGGCTTCTTCTGGGCCGCTTAAACAATCCCTTGGCATGCTTCATCCTGCAGCGAACAGGCACCCCAAGGCCACACATCAATGGCTTCTTATGGGCGTCCAAGCCTACCGTTTGCCAGCCCTTAAACCCTTAAAACCCTTCAAACGCTTAAAACCCTAAAAACCTTAAAACCGTTAAAACGCTTACTTGGCATGCTTCATCCTGCAGCCAAAAGCCACCCAAGGCCACACATCAATGGCTTCTTTTGGGCCGCTGCAACAATCCCTTGGCATGCTTC